ATATATATATATATATATATATATATATATATTCTTGTATGGCTTATAACGTTTTAAGTTAAAAAAGATGTTAATATTTTCAATGAGATATAGCACTTGCCATACTTATATAGCCTCCAGTTTTTGAGCGTTGTATGATGTTGTTTCTACGTCCGTGACATGTTTGGCAGTATGCGTGATATTATGTGATTTGTGTGATTTTGTAATTACTTCGAGGGTTCCTACTTGGAGATAATGGTATATTTATGTCATTGTCCATTAATTTTATATTGTTTGTTTTATAGAGCAGAACCACGTTGTGCTATCTGCTGTTTTTACTACGGGGAATCGAACCCAGGATTCTAGCGTTGTAAGTTCGTAAACTTACCACTGTCTAACCTGGGAACGGTGCGATAAAAATCTTAAAAATCAGCTTGACGGTTTTTTAAATAAATACTTTATCACAAGAAATGCTAAACTACAAGAAATACTATTGGCGGTTTTAAGAACTTATTATTATTATTTACAAAGTATTCTAAAATATACTTATTTACATAGTCTCTGTTATGACAGACTGTAAAACACCCAATATAATAACTTAGACATTAAAATTTAAATTTTAAAATTTCTGACTTAATACTTTGTTTGTTTGTTTGAAGTTATGCACAAAGCTACACAATGGGATATCTGTGCTCTGTCCACCACGGGTATCGCAAGTTTCTAGCGTTGTAAGTCCGCAGACATACCGCTGTGCCACTGGGGGGCACGACTTAATACATAACTAATTAATAAACTTGTACTTTTTTGAATACATATCCTACTGCCGTACACCCAAAACGTATTCGTTGGGATCTATGACTTTAGGATTTCTATAACCTATAGATATTTGTATGAAAATAAAACTAATGAAATTACCGAATGGGAATTCTGGAAGATGAATAAATCCTATTTTTCCTGCATCAGGAGTAAGAAATGCTAAAGGCTGACACATAAGGTGAGGTTTAAGTCCTTCGGCATCCAAAGCTTTCTTCATAAGTTTCATAGCTTCCAAAGATACGAAGGGGTCAAAACGGCAATTCACACCTACTACATCAGCACCTTCATGAGGAAAAAAAAGTTCTTTAGAAGAAAGATATTAAGATTCCAGTTCTGCGGGGAAATGCACTCATTATCCTACTACATTGAAGAAATTAGAAAGTGCACTGTAGTTATGAAAAATACATGGCCATGTTTGATAACAATAACAACCAAAGATTAAACATTAAACAAAATCAATTCCTTAATCGTAAGTATATCAGTTCATAAAATAGTTTAAATATTTAACAAACATTACCATGCTTAATATTATGTAGAGTCAACTTAAAAAATGGGTAGAACAATGCATTAATTTGTTAAGCCTAACACTAAATTACTAGATGAAAGATAAAATAGACAAGTACCTGCTTTAACCATTTTCACTGCACAGTCTCCACATGATATCTGGTGAAGGTCACCCTCAGGACCAATACACATGTTGGCTACCACAGGTAACTTTGTCTCTTTGCAGACTTCAATAGCCCATATTATCTCTTCAACATGCTCAAAATACTGTGAGAAATAGATTTTTCCAATAATCCTTTACAAGATACTAGTTTAAAACTGAACCTATCGAAGTTCTTCATATAAGACTCTGCGTTTGTTTAAATCATTAAAATGGCAATCAAATACGACAAATCTTTTATGCATTTTTCTGGCAGACGAAATAAGGTTCAGTAACGTTTCTTTATTATTAAAATAAATAAACTGATTAGAAAAGAAAATGTAATACAAACTCAGATTTACATGTTATTTAATATTTACCTGTAATTTAAAAATTATATCTAACAATGTATTACTCAAAGGGAACAGCAAAAACAAAAGACATTTAATAGCAGTTTATTTCATAATTTAACTTATACTTCATCCCAGTAACTTCATTCTCAATATTTCTAAAAGAAACCTTAAAGATTTAGCGGCACTTCAAAATATATTCAATAATCCCCCCCCCCCCCACCACACACACAAAATGCCGCGAATATTTCATACTAGGGCTGTTCGTTTCTAAGAAGCTTAACAGTACAAGACTTCCTACTTACAAAACAGTTCAGTAAGAAATGGAGACTAACTGTATAATATCATACCTCACAAATTAGAAAATCCACTCCGTTTTCAACGAACACGTCGACCTGTTTTCGAAATTCTTCTTGCACTTTCTCTTTGTTTGTGCCTGGCCGGTAATTTGGAGATTGTGCAAATCCACCAGCAACAAGGCAGTCACCTTCTTTTGCTACTTTCCGAGCAAGTTTACACGCTTCATCATTTATGTCACGCCCCTGAAAGTAGTGCCAGAATAATGTAGTTAATCGTTTTCTACTCTTGTGATCTCACTGAATATCTGAGTTGAAGCTTTTATTCTATACTTTTACTTACCCCATATCTCAAATTCTGTGAAATGCAAAAATGTTACTCACCAAACGTAACCCTAGTATACATCTTCTTTATTATTCAATGCTAACAACTTTTGTCAGGACTAGCTGTGATACATATTGGAAAGCATGGGTGGGAAGAAACTAAAAAGTCCTTATTGAGGGTCATTTCTTTTGGACAGCACCAACATGTCCTTTAGAAATTTAAACCTAAAGAAGGAGAAATGAAATGACCATCCACTGAAGAATCAAATACATCATTGTTGTTGCACCTCGTCATTCAAAGATAATTAGAACTGCAAAGCTGGTAAAGTAACTGTGAAAAATATTACGGGTTTAGAAGGACCAAATATATATAGTCATGATATATACTTACGGAAAATTTTTTTCCTGCTTCATTTCCCCTGTGTGTTAGGCTACTCTCGCTGGCATTAAATGTGAAGGCTTGCATTACATCTGAACCAGCTCTGAGAAATTCTTTATGAAGTTCAAGTACTAAGGAGAAGTAAACATGTTAAAACATATACTGGAAAAGACTAAGTACAAAAGATTTGAAAAAGCTACTGCTCAAAATTATAATTCATGGTAAAGATTTTGAATAAGAAGATAAGATTTAGTGCTGTTGTTAATATGTAACATAAAATTCAGAGAATTAAATTTAAAAAATTAATAGCATTAACATTTAACGAAATAAGTTGTGACAAAAATATGTTTGCCTACACACTCTTACCAGCATCTGGATTCTCAACACAAACTTCTGGTGTCCAAGGTCCTGCTTTCACATAACCTCGTTTTTCCAAAGCAATCAAAAATCCTCCATCACCAATGACCACTCCCTCATCCAAACGTTGGAGTAAACCCTTCTTTGTTTAAAGAAGAAATACATAAACAAATATACAAATAAACGTTATTTACATTTGATTAAAGCAAGCTACCTATTTAGTCAAAGGGTTAAATATTAACTCGGTAATTTAATATACTAATCTAACCTTGAACATACGGTCACAAAAGTCCGGTCTGGCCGGGTGATTAGGGCGCTCGAATCGTAATCTGAGGGTCACGGGATCGAATCCCCATCCCACAAAACATGCTCGCCCTTTCAGCCGTGGGACGTTATAATGTAACGGTCAATCACACTATTCGTTGGTAAAAGAGTAACCCAAGAGTTGGCGGTGGATGGTGATGCTAGTTGCCTTACCTCTAGTCTTTTACTGCTAAATTAGGGACGACTAGCGCAGATAGCCCTCGTGTAGCTTTGCGCGAAATTCAAAACAAACAAACACACAACCATAAAACAAAAGCTTATAATGATTAGAATTCACAAGCTTACCAGTTTGGTACACCTGGCAATTAGCAATAGTTTTAGGCAACTGTTAAACATTTTATCGAAGTATGCTACATTTTGCTTTCTAATGAGATTATACTTTCTTTTTCCCTTTTTGTTTTTAATAGTTTTCATAAGTTCTGGAATTTTGTATGCATGTATAAACTATCAAATTTCACGAACCTTCATAAAATAAAAGGATAAGTTATTGATGTCAATGGGCTCACACTGATTGTTACTAGCGTTCTCAGGCAGATAAGTTAAAAATTATAGTAGTTTAAAATATTTATGTTTGTGAAATGGTCGTGTTTACTCGGAAATTTTCAATTCATAAAATATAACAATATTATCTATATAAATAAAATAAGAGTTTTGTCTGTACATTGCTTAAAATAGTGTACTTTTTGCATATCTTCACGTTTCATACACCAGAGAAGCCGAAACAAGCATTATCTCAATTTCTGTCTGTCTGTTTGTCTGTCGGTAAAATTTTTTGTTTTATGATTACCATAGTAACAGTGAATACAATGTAAAATTTTCAAAACAATGTTTATTATCTCTATGTTGGAGCTCTACGTTGGAAAGAAAACAACTCCTGCAAAAATTTGTTGAGTCACTCCAGCTGTCTGTGCTTTATTTTTTTTATGTTTTGGCATTATTTATTGCTTTTAAGGTTATATTTCTTTAAAAGAAGTAGGACGGGCGAGCGACCCTTAGCAAAGAAAACTCGGCATTGCTCTTTTGCGCTTGACTCGCGAACTGCGTTCTTTCTTATATTTTTTTCTTTTTTATGAATACTATCCTTGGAGTTTAAAAATTCAGTTACATGGTTTATTTTTTGTAGTCTTTCTCAAGTAAGAGTCAGTGTTGTACGTAATAAATACCCTGACATCAACATGCCCCGTAAAAAGAAAAGTAGCTTAAGCAGAGTGTCTAAGGATGCTAAAAGAATGAAGGTGTGTAGGTCTGCGAAAGATTATGAAGGCTCTGAATCGGTTGAGGGTGTGAGGCCGGGCCCCTCAAGCAATACTGGAGAAAATGAGGCATCCACGAGCTCCACTTCATTAGAAACATACTTTGCTGGTCAGGAACAACCTTCCACCAGTCGGGAGCGTGTGGCCCGTTTCAAAGCCCTGCAGTCTGAAGTCGAAAGAGAAAAACGTTTGGCCCGTGACAGAGAGTGGCACGCAATCTCTCGAAAGTCACAGTCTGAGGATAACAGTCTGGCGAGGGGA